TAAAATCCTAAATACAAACAGCAGTAAACGAAACAAACCCCTAACCCCCTCCGTTGAAGACCTGAAACTTTAATGCCGAGGCGTGAAACTAGCTAACTGTAGGGTAAAAGAGGCAACACGAAGCTGCAAGGCGAGAACGCAGCAGGCGCGGTTCAGCTTTCCTCACCTTTCAGCCCTCGCCTGCGCGGCGAGCTGTCTGAGTTGCTGTTCTCTGAGTTCTTCTTCTCGTATTTTCTTTTGTTTCTTAACTTCGTTACGAAGTCGAATCTCCTCTCGTGCCTGTCGCTCTGCTATGTACAGCGCCTCGGAGAGAGAAGCAAATTTGTCGTTGACGGAAACCTGAAGCAGACCACAACGTTCACCACATATAAGCATTTACTATTAAGCTAGAAATCTACGAAAATTATATTTTAGAAAGAAAATATACAAGGGGACCAAACAATACAGTGAAGTAGAACAAAATATCTGCGCGTATCGACTGTCTCGTGGGCAGAAGCCCCAAGCAAATTCAGTTGCCCAAAGCACCATGAAAAACACCCCCAAACAAACATACACCACAAAACAAAAGTGTATGAATGCTTTTCTCTGCATAGAGGGCGCAGCTCCAACCGCTGCCGACTCATCTCCGTTCATGAGGCGCGAAACGCATGCAAGATGGCAAACAAAACGCAGAAAAGAAACATATATATATACACACCAAAAGAAACATATACACACCAACAGAAACCCGAATACTCCTCAGTGTACCGCCTATGCCCAAATTGTCTGTCACGAAGTGTGAGATACTCAGCTCAGGAGGGGGAGAGAGAGGCGAACACAGCCATGAATATTTCGGAATTCAAAAACCTATGTATGCTATCTACTCATCACAATATAAATAGAAACAAATACAAGTAAAATAAAAAGCAAACAAGAACAAACTGGCGCCTCACATCTTGCAAGTTTCTGCCGTCAGCAGCCACACGCTTGTCAAGCGGTATTGTATACCCCTTCTGGTTTTTCCAATTGCTGACGCAGGGAGGAATCTTCCAGTCTTGCTGGTCTTGCAGTGTGAGTTTCCCTGAAAAAGAACAACACAAACAAACAAAATTCAAGTAAAACAACAAAAAAAAACAAAAATACAAAAGAAGATGCAACAGAAGGATCGGCGAACAAGCCACAACGCCACATGTACAAGAATCAGAAAACGAAATGCAGCATCTCAGCCTCTGTGTATCTCAATCAATCAGAGTATAAGCAGCAGCATCGGGAGCAGTATGAGT